CTCTCTCTCTCTCTCTCTCTCTCTTTCTCTCTCTCTCTCTCTTAGCAGATTTTAGAAATTTTCCTAAGTTGTCTTTACATTGTCACAGCTGTGATTTTAACAGCTAAAATTTTGGCCCTATCAAGAGGACCTACACTGAGTTATAGATGATTTCAAAACATTTACAAACATTGGTGGAATCAGAATATTTTTCTCATAGTCAACTGTCTATGTGCTTGGTTATTACATTGATTGGAGAATTCCAGGAATTTCCAGCTAGGTAAATCTAGGTAAAGAAGTACAGAAATTACTAAGCCTTCCAGCCTTGGGAATTCACATATTCTTCTGCCAAAGTGACCTTATTTAGGATTAAGTGTCTGGGGCCTGGTCCACCTACCCATGCCTAAGCTTGTTTGCCATGTGCCCCTAGATAAGTGCCAGTTTTCTACAGTTTTTTGCATACTCAGACTAGAAGCCTCAATGTGTATCAAATTGAAACAATTTACCTGTAAGAATTAGGCTGCATTTCCAACTGAGGAAGTGCTGAACCTCAACTCTAATCTTCCACAGCCAAAATGGCCAATGATCAGACTGGGATAAGTGAGACAGGTTATACTCAAAGCATGTGGAGGACAGCAGTTTGAAAAGGAGACAGTGTTGTGCTTAAGGACTTCAGAGTAGAATTCTTTCTTCTACACACCAAACACTGTAGAAAGGAGTAATGAATTCCATTTTATCCATATGAATGGGAAAATTACGCTAGAGAGAGAGAGAGACTGCATTAACTTAATCCTGATTAAATTCCTGGGAGAGTCCCTAAACCAATCTTTTCTTCATGAGGGGAAATATCTATCAGCACTCCAAACATCTATCAGTCTCATCCTTGGTTATCTGATCCAAGGTTCACTCCATTAACCCAAGTTATTGAAGTACATCAAAATAGACTCACTATATCCTCTAGTGCTTCATTTTTACGGAAGCAGATAAAAAAAAATAGTAGAGGAATAAGAAAATTAAATAACTGAAATGGAAAAACAATTATGGAAATGAGAATGGAGCATAATACCATAAAACAGGATCTTGGCTGTCTGGCATCCTTTCTTGGAATTCTTTTGCCACTCCTTCCCCCTTTTTGCAGGCTATAATTTAAGGAGAAGAGATGGATGGGTATAGGAGGAAAGATTTCTACTTGACATCTCAGGTGGCTGGATTGGGAATCTTTACTGGAACTATTATCCAATGTAGAAACTGGTATTTTGTTTAGAAAGGCTTGTGCCCATGACCATTTGGAAAGGACCACTCTTGTCAGTGACCAGCTGCATTTCCTATCATTTCTAAGGACAGGAGGAGCCATACACAGTCCTAATTCCCATTCCCCTCCTTGTTTTCTCTCTCTCTGTCTCCTTGTTCTCTCTCTCCTTGCAGGAAGTAAAACCTTCCTTTAGATTTTATTTGCCAGTCAACAAAGTTATTTTAAGAAGACTAGATAGACCACAAATGCTTTATTTCTTTGTCTATCCCCTGCCTTTTTAGGGCATTACAAGCTGGGCTTCATACTTTTACCCAGTGCATCAGATCCCTCCCAGGAGGTAATAAAAAGGGGCAGTGAATGTGAATGTAAATGTGTAAGTGTGAGTATTCAAGAACAGGATTTAAAACCATCCTGATATTTGCTTCCCATGCATTTTGTGAAGAAGCACTGGCTACATCTGTACCAACAAGTCAAATAAGAGAGAGGGTGCCTCTGCTCTGCTCTGCTCTGCTCTAATCATTTACCTCTGTCTCCGGAATACTCCCTTGATTCCCTTGCAGTCTCTTCTTTTTCCTTCCCTCAAAAGTTGCAGAAGTTGTTCTGGAGCTCGAGGCTGCTGCTCTCCCTCCCTCTGCTTCACCGACACCCCCTTTCCAAGCCAAAATGAGCGCTCGAGGAGGGGGGGTCGTGGGGAAGAAGCTCCTTAGATACGCTGGGTCGAGAGTGAACTTGAGATGACACCGGCCGCGGCTTTTCTCGAACAGCTGCTTGGCTGCGTCTGCCAGCAGTACCCACGGATTGCCCCAGCACCTCCTCCCCAGCCCCCCCAGCCAGCTCGCGTGAAGAGGCACCAGCACAAAGCTGGCGAGAAGGTGGTGCCAACGCCAAGCTGGTGGGAAGATGAGCAGATGGAAGGAAAAGCTCGCAGAGGCCAACCGCGCGACCCACCTGCTATGCCCATCAGCCTAAGGCACCCTCATCCCCCTCCCCTTTCGAGATACATCTGCGATCTGGGGATCGTTTCTGGGAAACACCCCCGGTGGCTTCTCTGCCACAGTTCGAGCTCGGCTTTATTGTATGAATCCAAATGTATTCAATAAATAACCCGTGGCTTAATGAAGCCACGTAGATCCACGAACCACATACAAGTCTTGTTCCCTCAGCCCAGAAAATTGGGTCACTCGGGCATTAATCAGATTTCAGTTCAGCTGCTAAAACGTGTCCGCGAAGCCAGCCATTGTGAGTGCCCTTCTTTCTTCGGAAGCACATTCGCTCTACTCCAAGGCAAGACACGTGGGAATGGACCGGTCCTTCTCGTCCACACTTATGAGGAATGGAGTTGCATGGACCCCCATGAGGCAAGCCGCTTAGGACTGAGGTCATAAAGCGCCCAGGGCTTTGGTGAGAGGACACGGAGCGCTTCCTATATTAAAAGAGGGGTTCGTTTTCAGTAGGACTGTCCCGTCGGTTCCACAGCTCAGGATTGCGTTCTAGGAGTCTTGACATTTTGCGTCCTAAATTAGAAAAAATGTTTGCTGCTGGATTTCCACACGATTGTGATAAATCCGCTGAATTCAATTCCCTTTACTTCCAGGGCAACGTGCACAAGATAGAATTGCTATAATCCGGGACGATTCAGATAGAACACGCTTGAGAAATGAAGTGCGAAGGTCGACAGGCGTCCCTTATTCCCATTGTTATATTAGTTTCCACCAAAATTCTGGATTTCACCAAAACTTGTTTCAAAAAAGCAAAAACAATTAAGTAAACCCAGATCTAATCCTAACCTCAATCCGTTCTATGTAAATAGGAGTGAAATCGGCAACCTGTTTTTGTTTTCTTGCAGAACAAAAAGAAACATGTGAATAAAATGGAATTTCAAACTAGGTAGGTAAGTCTGGGGAATCAAGCTTAGCTTTTTGTATTTATCTGTTTTACTTGTTCCCCTTGTGAAGCTTGAGAATCATCCATTGCAATTGATCCCTAATATGAGACTCCATGACATTTCAACTAAATCTTCATTGAAAACTCTAGCTTTGAATCTAGATCCATGTGAAAATAGCCAGGAACAAGCTCCACATTCACTTTTTCTGCCTTCCCGCAGGGGATTCTGAAAACTTTTTCAGCACCATGGATATTTGATTCTTGTACTGGTTGTCCCACCTACTGCTGGTTGTTTTTCTTCTGAGGTTACTGTTCTGATAGTTTTACAGTTTTGTTCAGTTGTGGAAAACAAGGCACAAATACATTGAAATAAGTGAATGCATATTTTCATTTATTTACATACATATTTTTACAAAAAGACAATGTTGAAACTGTCATTTATGAATTTCAGAGACTGATAGTTCAGTTTCCAGTCCCCAAATTTTGATTTCAGAAAGCTGGATTGCCTGAAATTTACCTTGCAGATGTGTTACAATAAGTAGCTGCTGATGCCCATATTTTTAAATATGATTTAAAGTTGAAATTAGGTACAGCATTAAGAAATATTGGCTCGGTAGAATAGTAATGAAGCTAGGCTCAAAGTAATCTTTGTTAAAAGTACTCTTGGAATGAATGAAGAGTTTGTTTCCATCTAAGTGAATGGAGATCAATTATAGATCACCAGGGTTGTATGCAATCACTGAAAAGTTAATTATGTCACTGATTTCCTTGGGATTTTCTTCCATGCACCTAGTCCCTTGTTTTTAAAGGCTTTCACACAAAGCCCAGCTAATTCTGATAAAGTTTAATATATTTAAGACCAATTCTCACACTCGTGGAAATCTGCAAGGTGGCAATAAAACTGATTGAGCTAAATTGCATTTCAAGGATTTTACTTACTTTTTCACCAATTCCAATCTCATCAACTTTATGATTATTTTATTTATGTCTTGCCTTGCACACAATTTCTTTCCTTTTATTATTATTTTCAGCATGCCAGTATCCATAACATGCAAATTTCACTTTAAAAGCTAGCCTCCACATACTTTAGCTACAGGTTAGGTTCGGTTTGTTTGTTTAAAAAGATCGGACGTTGATTAATTTAAAGAATCTAATTTCAAATTAATTCATATCTATGAAATTTAAGATTATTTCTCGCAAAGTCGGTCCTCCCCACAGTAGGAAGGAGTTCAAATCATTCATTCCGCTTTTAACAGACTTTATTGCTGCCCCAAGGAAGAGCATTTTTCACCAGCCCACCGCCTCCAATTCTCCATGTCGATCCAGTCGATAGCAGACGTGGCTAAAGGCTGCAGCTTCTAGAATAACTTTGGAACCTCGGGCACCAATTCAATCCAAACACATTTCCCAATCCGCCTAAAGGAAAGAAAGGGGCGTCCTGCCCTCAGCGCGTCTGATCGGAAGTCTCGGGAAAAAGGAGAACGGGAGCAGACAGGACTTTCGGTCTACTTGGGGGTCCATCTTGGGGATGGAAGTCTGTCCACTTCAAATCATCTCGGCAGCGGCGCCCTCCAGCGTCGTTTCCTCCTATGTAACTGAATTAGCTAATAATTGAATGGCTTCTAGTTCGGTTTGACCATCCTCGCACCCTCCCTCTTCGCCTTGACCCGGTCGCGTATTAGATTGGACCCCCACCTAAATTTCAGATATTCAGCTAGTAGACGCCCCCGCCTCAGCCTCTTGCACTTGTTGCATTTTAACTTCCATTATTCTTAACCAAGCGCGACATTGGAAAGGCGGCTGTTGAAAACCCAACATAATCAGAGAGCGCCAGATACAAGTAGCCACGCTAATGGCTTTTCCTCCCGAATTATGCTAAAAACTTCGAGCAACTTTTCAGCCCCCCCCCCCCCGGGACACACTAAGCGCACACCCGACAGCAGAGAGAGACCAGGGTCAGTCGCCGTGGCTAAGGCGGGGCTTCTTCAAAATGAGGGCGTTGGGCGCTCTCCAACCTCCTCCCCCTTCTCAGCGCGCTTTCCCCGGATCTCGAGGGTCTGGGAGAGATCCAAAGAAAGGCGAAGGGATGGCTAACGCGCGCACAACCTAGTGGGCCCTCGACGCGCCTCGATGCGGGCTGCTCATTTTTGCCCCCCCTTGCCCCGCGCAGATGGTTTGCCCCGCTCTTCCTGGCACATATATATACCCCCTCGCCAAAGAATCACCGCGAGCCGTCGCCGAGCTCCTCTTAGGAAGGCGAAGGGGAGGGGGCGCCTTCTGACTGGCGCCCGTCTCTGGCGTCCAGGGCTTGGGTCATCCCTGACTGTATCGGAAGAGCCTCGGATGGATCTGAGGGAGCTGCCGCTGGAGTACCGGGCGCCGCCCCGCTCTAAGCGGCGTCCCCGAGGTGAAACTTGCCCTTCGCTTGATAATTCCTCCGCTGCGGAAGAGGAAGAAGAAGAGGAGGAGGAAGAGGAAGAGGACGAAGAAGACGACGAGGACGACGAAGACGAGGAGGCGGTGGCGAGCAAAAAGAAACGCGCCAAGGGAGCCTCCAGGACCGGGGAAAGCGGCGGAGTTAAAAAGCAGCCGGCGGCGGGTCGGAGCGCCGCGGGCTCAACGCCGGAGTGCAAGCAGTCGCAGCGCAACGCGGCCAACGCACGCGAGCGAGCCCGCATGCGCGTGCTGAGCAAAGCCTTCTCGCGCCTCAAAACCAGCCTGCCCTGGGTGCCTCCGGACACCAAGCTCTCCAAGCTGGATACGTTGCGCCTGGCCTCCAGCTACATCGCCCACCTGCGGCAGTTGCTGCAAGAAGACTGCTACGAGAAGGGCTACGTGCATCCTGTCAACCTGGTGAGTGAGCTCCGAAGCCTTTGAGGAATATTCGAAGGCAGGCTTAGCTTGTCAGAACCTGACTCCAATTCCACTGGTGCAACGGTGCTGCTTTCTCAACACGGGCAGCGTGTTTCTGCAGTTCTGGAACATACGTAGGTTGGCCAGTCTTGGAGTAACTGTTTCTGTATAAATGCGTATCTTTTAAAATTCAAATTAATATTACTGTAGATAAAGAGATTATAGGAGACAGGAGAATAATACAGGCTAACAGGTGTGTCTCTTTGTAAGAGTAACGCTTTCCTCTTCTGATTGCTTTCATCAGTTCAATAAGGAATCTGAAATTTGGGAGGATACAGTATGTGTACAGTATACAGTATGTGTATTCTCTACATAGTACACATACTCTACACAGTATGTATCTGGCTCTCCCCTCCTTAGAAACATTAATCCTGCTTTTGCCCAAATACAAGCAGTACTTAATTAATACCTGACTTAAAAGAGACATTCTAGGATTTGCAAGAAGAATCATTCACTGACTCCCTAAGTTCTCAACAAAGCACTGGTTTGTGGTCTCACACACACACTATTGGTTTTATCTTTTGTATCTTTGCATTGTCCACATTGATAAGTATTATTAACACATCTCATGTTCCACACATGAGAATTGCTGGGGGTGTGAATGATAGGAAGTGAAATCTAGCATATCTGGTGAGTTCTTAATTAGATTTGACATCATCTGGAGGGAAGCTTTCAAAGATCTTTTAAAAATGTGTTATTAAGAATTCTCTTTGGATCCCTCTATGCTTGAAAAGTTCTCCCTCAGCTTTTAAGTGGCTGCAGCTTTTGTTAGCAGAGATGTTTTATTTCTTTTTCTTCCTAGCATTTTTCTGCAAGTGCAGGATCTGCTTTTTTTAATCAACAAAGGGTTGATCCATTTATCAGCAGAGCAATTGGCTGGGAGAAACTAAATCTCTTCTGCAATTTCAGTAGACTCAAATGCAAGGATCTCTGGCTCTCAACTCAGTTTGCTTCTAAAAAGATCTAAATGCCCAACATTCATCTAGTTTAGTTTTCTGTTCTTCCAAAGGTGAAGAGAATTTTCTCACATAAAATTAAATCTGATTTTTTAAAATTATCATTTGTTTAAATCTGCTCACTGTATAACAGGCTAACAAATTCTGTAAAAAGTATCTTGGAATGAAAGCCTAATTTTGTGTGTCCTGCCGATGATATTTTTTGCTGTGTGGCTGTAATATAGGAAAGGAAGGAGCACCTTTTGCATTTGGGGGGGATCTATTCATTGTTTATGAAAAATGAATATGAAAAAGTACTTATTTTTGTTTTTATTGGTTTCTAAACTACAAAGTCCAGTTCTTTTTAATTATTACTCATACAGAAATTGCATCAAATGTTTGGTGATTTTTATAGCTGCTATATCTTATTCAACTCTCATCATGTTTTGAAATGTAATGCAATTAGGGACTGTACCTAATTGTGACTAAACTATCATGACACATTTTTATCATAATCTTTCTTCATACTTTTTCGCACTTTTGCTATTTCCTTTTTTCCATTTGTATGACAATATATATTAACAACTTCAAATTCCACGTGCACACAGCAAATTATTCTCTAGGCTAAAAGAATATAAAGCTATTGTAATCATGGATAGCTCAAGTCTAGGAATATTGAAACTGAACTTATTTTCATGGCAGTGATCTGTTTCTGAAAATTACCAGGTTTTCCATATCTGAACTGTATGGAATTTGATTCAACAATATTTGTAGGAGATACAGGTGGCCTTCTCTAAGCATCTCCAATTATACATGACTGCATTTAATACTTTCCAAAGAGTACCAGTTAACATCTTCATGTAGATTTGATTCCAGAAATACATCTATCCATCTAACAGCAACATTTACATGTACATGTTTGTATTTAATGATTGCAGCAGTTTTTAAGCTATATGCAGAGTTGATTATGACAAATAGCAGAAGATACTACAAAATATTTCTAATAATATTCTGTGGCTGCAGTATTTTATCAAACTAATAAAGCAAAAAAAAATCTTTACTTGGAGAAAGGGGAATACATTTAATATTAGAATGCATTCTTTAAAAAATATAAGCACTATTCTAGAAGAGGCATTGTCAAAATGTCTAATTTAAATTATGGCCTTGACTATGTATATTCATTCTGTAATTTTTTCACTATAACTATGACAACTGTAGGAGAACCAAAGCTTATACAATATTCATTTCCTGGCTCTCCTTGAAGTGGCTTAGTCCACTTTAATTAGGTGCTGCTGAAACAATCTTATTTGGAAAGATTCCTTCTTAAAGGTAAACCTGGTTTTTCACCTGCTACTCATTTCACCACATTAGTTTATATTATAATGAAAAATTTAGTTTGTAGAGAAAATGAAGGGCAGGCATTCTATAAAATTTTGAGTTGGATAAACTTCTTGAAATTGCTCTATGCAAATTAAACTAATTTATACAGCAAAATTGGAGAATAAGAAAATGCCCTGATATCTTAAAGACTGTTTTAACTTAATAGTGGGTCTCCTTTACTAAACAATGTTAAAATGCATCTCGTGAGACCTAGGAAATAGAAGTTCCCTTAGCGGTGGCTGCCCTATAGAGAGGGCGCCCCACTCCCGAGATATGGAGGAGCCCCTACCCTCCTTGTTTCCTTGACAGCCGTTAAGACTGACCTTTTCTCCCAGGTGTTGAGTCAGGATAGGAGATGAACTCAGCATTTGTTCTTGAGATAGAGAGTTATGGCATGCAAGAATTTTTAATTTCACTGTATTTTTTTATTTATATATTTGATTGCTAGTACCCATATTTTACATAATATGAGGCATATGCAGGAAGTCCTTGACTTACAAGCATTCGTTTAGTGACCATTCAAAATTAAAACAGTACTGAAAAAAGTGACTTATGAATGTTTTTCACACTTTCGACAGTTGCAGCATCCCGTGGTCACATGATCAAGATTCAGACGTTTGACAACTAGTTCATATTTATGATGGTTGCAGTGTCCCGTGGTCATGTGATCACCATTTGAGAACTTCTGACAAGCAAAGTCAATGGGGAAGCCAGATTCACTTAAAAACTGGATTATTAACTTAACAACTGGATTGAGTCACTTAACAACTGTGGCAAGAAAGGTTGTAAAATGGGGCAAACCTCACTTAATTGCCTCACTTAGTAAAGTAATTGTGGGCTTAATTATGAATAAGTCGAGGACTATCTGTATATTTAAAATATATACATAATTAAACATTAAATAAAATGATAACCATACAATCATTATTGTTTGTATAATAATTACAAACAATATTTCTATTATAATTGCTATAATAAAATCATCTTTTGGTCATTTTTATTTTCCTGTCAGATTGAACAAATCAGTGGCATACATACTTCACTCCTAGGCTAGAAATTAAACCTTATTATTTATTTAGTATAAAGGAAATATAGGAGCTGTTTCACTTCCCTTTTCCATAAACCTCGGTTACATAAGTAGTTTATTTATAGAATATGGACAAAGAAGTGTCTACATTAAATGCTTTTGGCAATGTTTCAGCAACAGAAATGTATATTTAAGTTACAATAATTTTACAACAAAAGCTTGTTTAAAAATTGAATCAGTTGATATAAAAGAACATTAGCTACATATGGGCTTGAGCAAGGTATTTTCTGGAGAGATCTTGGTTTGTTGTTGCTAAGTTTATACAGTGAAAACTCTAATGAAATAGATTAGCATGTTGTTTAATGCTCTTAATATTGTATAGGAAAAAAAGTGTAGTGAGGCAATAAATTCAGATTTATTGCATCTGATTTTTAATCAAGCAACCACTTCTGTTTTTGTATGGAAGGTTGTTTTGCCAAATATGGATGGAAACTATGTTGCAGCAAACTGGTTCTTGTTAATTTTTATCCTTCTTTCTAACATGAAAACATATTTTAATTCACAGACTTGGCCATTTGTGGTTTCAGGAAGACCAGAATCTGACACCAAAGACGTACCAACAGCCAGCAGATTATGTGGAACTACAGCTTAGTTAAAGTAAAGAGTGCTCTTGCTGGATGCGTTTACTAATTCCATTGTCTTCTCTGGACCAAAGAAAACTGAAACAGTGAAAAACAATTATACTGTGTTTAAATCCTCTCTTCAGTTGGAAAGAAAACTGCACTTAAAATGTAATGTGAAGTAGGAAGATCTGTCCAAGTTTCAGATAAAATGGTAGCTTTGAAAAGGCATTTTTGCATCATTTTCTAAAAAACTGTTCTAAAAAATTTTGACTAACAGAAAACATGCAGGCGGATAACTATTAAAATTAATAGCATGAACCAAATTATAGGTTGCATGAAGTAACCCCAAACAGTGTTATTTGTATACCAAAGGAAAATAGTATTCTAGACTAGTCCTTAACATAAATTTATAATATATTTGATCTTATGTTCTCGGCAGCTATGCAATAGTAAGACTACTTCTGTCACCTTAGACAATTTCTTTTTAAAAATCAAAGACAAAAAGATTGTATCTGGTTGCTCCTTCACAGTCTATTTCACAAAAGCATTAAATCAGATTACTTGTCTTTAAGACAAGCATACATATAGCCAGGTAATTTGTAGGTCTTGGATCAAAGTCATAGGCATATTCTTGTTGAATTGAGACAACTAATTCTACTCTGTACTGTAGTAGCAAGTTTGACATGTGAACTTGCCTTATTCTGAAATAAGTTTCTTTAAGTCTAGGATGGTTTTATGTAAATTGGCCTTTTATATCACAAGTGTTTCCTGTCAAGCTTTTCTGGTCGTATGGAATGTTAACTTTATACTGTTCTATATGCAAACAATATTACAAATGTAAATAATTATATTTTTATACATTATATTAAAACCTTTATTGCAATAATATTTTGAGTGGTTGGTGATAGCTGAATAAAAATTATTGAAAAATCACTAAAATAGGATTCAATATTTTTTAATGTTTATATTTATATATGACTATGGATCTGTTTACAACTGGGTCATGGAGTTTTTTTTTCTCTCTCTCTTCCTCTCTCTCTTTCTTTTAATGGTAACTCTCCGAGATAAGCAGGGACTAGAGAGCATTCTGAAATGCGTCATGGAATATATAGATTTTTTCTTGAAGACAAAATTAAACCTATTTTATGACAAAGGAAGTTTGATACTGCTGTATTTTTGCTGTAAGCCACCTGAATACAAGCAGCATACAAAATAATGTACAAACAAATATTGTATTTATTCCTAAGTATTTTTAAGCATCCCCCCTTTTTTTTACAGAATTTTTTTATGATAGGTGGTGGGAATTTCAGACCTTCTAAATACTATATGTTGGAATTTCCCCTGCAAGCATGAATGAAAATGATAAGACATATTGGGAAATGCAGTTCAGCAATATTTGAACGACCACAGGTATCCTATGTCTCCACAAGAATAAATCTGTTGTATTTGTGGTTTAAGTTATGGGATGGATGATATAGGTTCAATTACAGCATAAAATATAATGGGGATGAAGCTGTTTTAGATATATCTTAATACTTCAAATGATTTTGAAGTTCCAACTTTATTTTATGAATACTGACTGAAATAATGTTTTTAGAAGGTACTTTAGGAATATAATGTTGGTGACAGGCAAGCTTAGCATTTCATAGATAGAAAGACCAGATAAAATATTTTTCTTTTATTCGCTAGAGCTATCAAATTAGAAGTAGAGAAAGACAGAAAAACACTAGATAGGATAAAAGATAGAGCATATATGCTTTGTAGTAGTTAAGGCACCAGACTAGACACCAGGCAAACAAGAATTTGTTCTATCTTCAGCACAAAGCCAGTTGGGTGTCTTTGGACTAGTCACTCTCTCTCAGCCCAGCAAGAAGGCAGTGGCAAATCACTTCTGAAATCTTGCCAAAGAAACTTCAGGGATTTGTCAAGGGAGATGCCAGGATTCAACAATGAGTTGAAGGGACACTCCCCCTCTCCCCCAAAACTCACCATTACAGTATATAAAACAGTTACTTATATACCTTAGTTATTCCCTGAGCCTAAAACCACATGCAACTGGTTAATGAACCTTAGAGAATGAAACAGTTCTACTTGTAGAACTACAAAATATTTTGAATGCCTAATAAGTTCAAGTGAGAAGTAGGAGAAGTAGGTTGGAAAACAATCAAACTCTTTGTTAGGTTAATTAATGTATTAAAATATTTAATTTATTTAATTAGCTTTTAATTTCAGAGTGGTAGAGGAATAACTGTATTTCATAGAATTATCAGTATAGGAATTGCAATACCCTTTCCTCCCCTTTTTTAAACATAAACTTTTTCAATAATTTGCTATATATAAATTTAAATGCAACAAGAACATGGGAACTAAGGCAGGCTAGATAGAAGTTTGTTAACTGGCTCCATGTGTGGTTCATAGTTATAACATATGAAGTAGCCTATTTTTCATCATAATATCAAAGATTAAACATTCTCCTTTTATATGTCACATTAACCTAAATAATGCAATATATTTCTTAAATCAGTGGTTCTCAACCTGTGGGTCGGGACCCCATTTGGGGTCGAACGACCATTTCACGGGAGTCACCAAACAAGGCTGTCCGCCATTTTTCCCCCTTTTCTTTGGCCACGCCCCTGGTACCCGGTGATGTATAAGTGGTTGGGGGTCACCACAACATGGGGAACTGTATTATGGGGTCGCGGCATTAGAAAGGTTGAGAACCACTGTCTTAAATCATTTAATATAGAGTAGAATATTTTATGTGGCTATAATTACCTTATTACTTTATTCACATAAGTAACAAGAACACATGTTCATATTCTATAATTCAAGGACATTTATTTAACAAATTTTAGGAACTGAAATTAATTCTTATGGAACAAGAAAAAGACTGTTTAGTCTTGAGAAGACAAAAATGACAGAGTTTATGATTGCCTTCATCTCTAAAATAGAGATCATCGAATAATGAGTATATTCAAGTGATCATTGGTGGAAATAGTTTCCAAGGAAATGGTGAAGTCTCTGTAATATATTAAAGAAGGCCCAGGGCAGAGCTGGGATTTCTACACAGAGCCCTGGGTTGGATTCAGCCTCAAGAGCCCAGTCTAGTAGCACAATTCCAAGCTGCCACCCATTTGTCTGTTGTGAAAAATGAATGTATTGAACATCTGAACATGTTTAAAACCTCATTTTACTGTGCAAAATAACTCCAGATTTATACATATTATTTCATCTTCAATTACAAAGATTAAAAAAAAATGCAAACATGTTTGTACTGTAAATTAGCTAGTGATTTTCAAAATGAAAACTAAATGTTTTAATCTCTGGCAATGGTCAACAATAACATTATTCGTTATTTATTTGAAGATCAATTGTATTAACATTGTTTTAAAAAATAAGTTAAAACTAAGGCATATTTTAAAAAATAGAAAGCCGAGAGGAAATGATAGAGACCCCACCCTCCACTGCTCCTACCAAGAATTGCAATCAATCAAGATTCCTCTTCCCAGGTAGGTCTACAGTTGTCTGAGGGTCATTCCTAGTAGCTCCCATTCAATTTAGGGAACTACGTGCAGCCAAAAAACCATGTACAATTGCTTAATTAAGCCAAACTTAATTAAAGGTAATTAAACCAAAAACAATAATCAACATCAAAGAAAAGTTTTAACCCAGGAAATACTGGGATGTCTCTTATATATACTGTATATTGAAAATTCAAAAACAAAAGAAATGGCACCCAAAATACTGCTAAAACCACAGAAAAGAATAGAACAGACTAGAACAGAACAGAATACAGTACAATAGAATAGAATAGTTTATTGGCCTTGTGTGATTGGACACACAAGGAATTGTCTCTAGTGCATAAGTTCTCAGTGTACATACAAACAACAAAGTAAAATAATCATAAGATGCCAATAGGAGAAGACAGTAGAAAAGATAAGGATAACAAAAATACAGTCATACTACATGGGTAAATATTCTTAGACATAAGACAGTATTGTGGTAATTAGATGTTCAGCAGAGTGATCAGTTAAAATTACCATTTATATAATAGTTGTTTATAAATAACATATATAAATATAGTTCTATATATCATTTTTATCACAGTACTGTTTTAAAAAATGGGAGTAGCCCAGAGAAATGTCACGAAGAGACATTTATTCTCTTTTTAGGTCAAAAAAGCCTAAACCTAATCATGACTTGTAAATTAAAAGCAAGTTATGTATTTGCAAACTAAGTACTATTATTGTTTTAAGCTAATTAAATTTTTGTCATATCAGTTTATTTTAAAATAAGAGTTTCCCCAAGGACACAGGTTTATGCTGTGACCATTTACAACTTTTGACAATTTCCCTGTATGAAACATACCAGTTGTTTCTAGAAATAGAATGCAGGATTTGCCACCTATTAGGACAAACCCAACATATATATAAAGTTTCCTCTCTCTTTCAGTTCATGTTGGTGATTTTGGTTATTTTCTTGCACTAGCATACAGTTTCCCTAAAACTGGGGTGAGCTACCTGGCTTAAAGACAGGTCAGTCTACATGAACAGTATTCACCGGTGTTTTTTTTCCCTGTGTCTTGTTTTGCTCCATGAAAGAAACTGAGTTTTTATCATAAAGCAACTCTTAAGACCCATGTATTGAAATACAGTGATAAATGTGACCATTGACTTGTGGAAAAAACTACAGTGATTCCAGCAAATCATGATAGCAGTCATGTAAATGAAGTAATTTATGTCAGACTCTCCACATGACTGATGCAAATTATATATTTCAAATCACTTGCACAATTATGCCATTATTCATGAAGCATCACTTGTATCCTTGCCCCCACCCACCACATAATCTGCTCCACCACCACCACCTCCTGCTCCTGCTCCTCCTCTTCCTCCTTCTCCTTTTTAATATTCTGTAAGACATTAAGAAACAAGAATAGAAAACAAGAGTGCAGAATAATGTATGTCAACATTCAATCATATTATATACAATATGCAATAGTTTTTAAACATTTAATGCATATTTTGGATATGTATGAAACTGTTACGAAAAAAACATCACAACTTTGAAAGGCAATGATCATAAAATAGTAATTAAAGTAGTGGATTTGAACTCTGGAAACTGAAGTTCAAATTGCTATATATCAAGAAAGTTTCCTGGATGATGCTGAATCCCCATATTTCTATGTAATTCACAGAATTCCAGTTCACGATGGTTTGAATAATAAGCCACTACCAAACAGAAAAGCACCATGTTCGAAATCATGATTTCCTTGAATGTAATGTGGGATAGTGATAAATAATGTTCTTTAGTGCATTCAGTGGTACTTTTGTTGTTTTTACATACTGTCTCAAGATCATTGATAGAAAGATTAAAATCACCTATTAAGGGTGAATAGCACTAGATAGCATGAATCAAGACTGCCACCTGGTGTATTACTGTATAATACTGGTTTTAACTACATTATTTTACTATATTTTAGTTTTATTTTTTTAAAGTCAACTTAATTGCTTGCACCAATTAACAAGAACTATTAGACAAATGTCACATCTTCAAATATGAATGGAAAGGATTGGGCTTGATAGCTAACTATATTAAAAAAATTTTTTTTAGTAGATAAACTGACAAAATGGAGTTGTTTATTCAAACTCAAAATGTGAAGAACATATGGCAATGTACAATGACCTTGAACAGATAGTATTTGCTGCCAAATGTTTGTATCACTCATTTTACTAATTCCCAATATAATCAAGTCTATATGGAGGCTGCAGATCTGAGATAATGAATAAAAAATATTCTTCTTAACAGCCATGTTTTTCAGAGCTTTAAACCTAGCTCATTCATAAAAAAAATTATGTCTTGTTAATAAATTCAGAATCCTTTGGACAGATAGGAGTCCAATCCATCAATGATCAATACCATAATTTAGTGCA